TGTTCACACATGATATCTTTGCTATGTGATATTTTTTTCACTGTCTACTTAGTTCTTATTTGATTCAATTACGTAGACTTAATACTAATGTATCGTCAAGATTAAATATACTTGTATGATGTAACCAGACAGAATCACTGGCTTAGTCTATTCAAGTGAGGAATTCGATGCTTAGCATTCGTTTAACTACTTGTTTTTAGATCAGTGATTTGCGAACAATTCTGAAGTTACAAAACAAGGCAGTTTTGTAAATCGAATTAAACTGTATTCCATAGAAAGTAATGTGCTGCTTAGTAAAAGTTGTTTCAAAAAAAAATCTGAAAACAATCCAATTTGGCGTGGGATAAGTTGACCTGATTATCAGATCCTGGACTTGATAGGTTTGTATGACCTACAACCATCAAAATTTTAATAATGTTTAAGATATTCTGTATATGAGTGTATCGTACAATACAATTCGAAATATCGGCATGTCCTAGAGTAATAAACGAGTAATAAGGCTTTAAAAAAAGTACATGCGCTGAATTTAACTCAGATTATTGTAGAGCGTTAAAAACTCCAAGCTGTTTACTTCTTGTTTTGATTACCAAATTGTTTTATACTTCGGGTTGTGTTATTGTTGTATGTTCATTTTCCGAATAAATACACATGAATGTTGTGCATTTTCTGGGTTGTTGGGTCATCTTTTAGTTTTCAGCTTTCCTCACTAACGCTACACTGCATGCTTTCTCAGGACGCAACGTGCTTCCTGGCTAGATGCGAACCGCTACAATGTTATAGTTTTCGAAACATTACAGAGAATTTAGTTCGAATTGACATTTAACTGGAAACGATGCCTAAAATTATGTTTATTTCTGCAATAATTTAATCAAACAACATAAGACAAACCAAAAATTGATTTGTAAATGTTTCAATAGTTGAAAACCATGAAAAGCTAACTGAGCAAACAATTCATTATGATTATGAATATTTCATTGGGATTTGAAGAACTAATGAATTCAACTGTAAGTATAATTTTTTTTGGAGAATACAATCTTCCAACTAAGATTATTCTACCCATAAATTATGCAAAAGGTGAATTTTAATTATTTGTGTGCGTTAAATTAATTATTGTGAATATTCGGTTAAATGTGAGAAATTTTTATAAGCAGTAGAAGGTTTTTGAAATGTAAGAGTTTTTTTCTTCTATTGGGAACATTTATTGGTTTGTGTTCACAACAGGTGGTATTATAAACGAATGTGTAAAAAGGAACAAATAGGTAAAGTATGCAAGTTATGCATGATAGATAGAAACCCTAGAGGAATTGAATTACATTCAAATTTATTCAATCAATAGACCAATTAATTGAATGATTAATAATTATAAAAACCTATGAAACTGAGCAGTCATCATTGCATACTTACGTACTTACTCACGCCTGTTACCCCCAACGGAGCATAGGCTGCCCACCAGTGTTCTCCAACCAACTCTGTACTGGGCTTTGCTTTCTAGTTCTTTCCAGTTTTTGTTCATTCTTCTCATATCTTTCTCTATTTCTCGGCGTAATGTGTTCCTTGGCCTTGCTCTTTTCCTTTTTCCTTGAGGGTTCCATGTGAGGGCTTGTCTTGTGACGCAGTTAGGTGCTTTTCGTAGTGTGTGTCCTATCCACTTCCACCGCTTCTTCCTGATTTCCTCTCCCACTGGAATCTGGTTTGTTCTCTCCCACAGTACGTTGTTGCTGATGGTGTCTAGCCAACGAATCCGAAATATTTTGCGAAGACGACTGTTCCTAAATACTTGTATTTTCTGGATGATGGATTTGGTAGTTCTCCAAGTTTCCGTTCCATACGGTAGAACTGTCTTCACATTTGTATTGAAAACTCTGATTTCGGAAAAGCAAGGGCTGCATATTACAGTGAATATTATGAATACAATGAAAAGTGCAATTAAATTCATCAATTTTATACTGAATACAACTGGAAATGCACAGAACTTCAGTGAACAAATTTCATTCTCAATTAATCAATACAGAGAAAATCCAGTGAAAGGAATTGTATGTGTAAATTTAAAGATTAATTTTCTTTCTTGTATATTGAATTTAGGGATTTCACATCCCTGTTCAAGCAAAAAATAAATAATGAATAAAATTATTCATACTACATTTGTTATTTCCAGTAGAAAAAATTTGAGCGAGAGAAAAGGAATATCTACACATTTGAAATCATCAATCAGTCATTGTTATACCACCATTAGAAGCTCGGAAACACTAGACAGCCGTTTCATCCTGGTATGGTACTCATCAGTAGTGTGCATCCACGACTCCTGAACCTTTCAGTATTCGAATCCGCGACCTTCGGTCATGCGCGTGAACGCCTTATCTCTGGGCCACCGAGCAGGCATCCAACGGTATTAATGTCTAACTCTGATCAGACTAAGGATTTTGCGCGATCTTACCCATTTGCCTTTGGTAGTTACTGCCTACACGCGACAGGGTTGAACTCCACTGGTCACGTCTTCTCACCAGAACCCCGAGAATTTCCTCACGAAGCTAGTCACTAGTAGGCACATTCTACGATATTTTCAATTAGAGTTCTAGAGACTAGTGATTTCAAATGTTTAAAAACAAAAATCTCTATAACTCTAATTGGGAAAAAAGGAAAATTATCAAAAATCATAATCATGTTCTATGTTTATATTAGATATTGATAGATAATGTTTTTGCGTTTATCATTTAACTGTTTACCAATGGGTAGGTAATTCATGATTATTATTATTATTATTATTATTATTAGTAGTAGTAGTACAACTCTAGGAGAATATGATATGGTCATTAGAACTGTCTACATGTTTGTTGATTCATTATTGGGATAAAATGAGCAACAGTTTCGAGGCATTCAACAGCATTCAGTCCTGTTAATTGCAAAGGGATTGAAGTGACCTAAGAATTACTATGAAAATTATTGTAAAAAATAAATTATGACGTTTTCTTTCGAGGAAATCATCAAGATAATTGAACAGATTTGATTTTGGATTGAAGAAGAGTTCAAAATCAGTGAGCATTTGTTAAATGCTTAATAAGTTTCAGTGTCAACTGATAAGAGATAACTTACGGACAAAATCTGTAACATTCAATATATCAAAATCTTGACCAGCAGCTAGAAAGAACATTACAAAATATTCGAAATCTAGTTTTATAAGAAAAAACTGATAAGGAATTTCCAGAATGATATAAGTTCGAAATTCAGTACTCAAGGTTTTCAAAACTTATCTGGAGTGAAACAGAAAATGGTTGAAATTATTACAAATTCTATTAATTTGAAATGTGTACTAGTATGTTGAGCCCACATAGCCTGTCCTAGCTTTTTGGTAAGCTAATTAGTCTTTTCTACGCGAGTTACTATTCTCACATCTTTTGACCATGTCAACCATGTCAAAATCTGGGTTGCTTTTATTTAAGTGCGTGTGAGTATTGTTTATTTCTCTTATCTGATGTCTAACTTATTTTATTTTCTGACTATGAATACATAGTCGTGCCTCATCGATCGAGTTGGCTTATTCATCTTCTCCACTTCCCTTCACTTTGCCGCTTTTCAGCCTCATCTCCGTTTGCGTGAACGATTGCATGAAATTAATTCAATCAAATGAATCTATATTTGACTTCTTACTACCGCCATTCCACAAAATGGGTTCACCTAAGAATAATAAACGGAAATTGAAGGGAAGATTTATTTCATAGCATGTTCAGTTGTTCGTCTAAATTAGAGTCAGATCACCAGCCACAAAAGTACTGACACAGTCGAAAGGTGTGTGAATAACTCGAAGAGAATGGATTAATTAATTTGTCCAAAGGCTGGGACAAACCATATGGGCTCAAAATACTAGTACAAGCATTACAAATTTTAAAACCAAGGTATCTGTTTACGTTGCTGCTACCTTGACGTGGTGGTCGGGCTTGCCTATCGTGATGATCTAACCGAGATATATTGGCTGGAACTTATGTTTCTAAAAGTTCTACCATACCATGCAGGTCGATTGGCGAACGATCAGACTAAAAGCAGCTACCCAAGGTCTGAAGGCGAAGTCGTACTGCTGACTGCAGAGGGGTGTGACAGCAGAAAGGTGTTTCCCTCAGACAACTAGCATCTGCAGCGATGCTGCCTTCTCACAGGGAAGGAAGGGTTAGAAAAGGTCGACCCTAAAAATGTTACACCTCACCTTGATGCACGGATTTCCGACTCCGGCGGTAAGGGTGCCCACTAAGGGTTTTTAAGAGAGGAGCTAATACTCAAAAAACTTCAAATTCGTTTGCAATGGCGCAGGTGCATCCACTCTTTGTGTTCTCTCAATTCCTAATCTTCTGGATTCGTCAACACCTCTACCCTTGTCTTTCTAAAGTTATCTCACGGAATTATACTTCTTGAATCATATCCTCGAACCCTAATCTTCTCCATTACTGCTAATACTTTAACTACCTCTACTTCTATGGGATTTTAATTCACAATTGCGTCTCTGTGCTAATGTGATATGGCAACCTGAACTTATGTACCTACGTACGAAGTCCTACGTTGCATCTGACTGATTGACTGTTTACGCAGCCACTGCAAAGAACATTGACATTCAACCCCAATTCATTTAAAAAAACGATAAAGTAACAAATTTGTTTTATAAAGTTCTGATTTTCAATTACATTTATTTATTTTTATCAGCACTGTTTTATAAATTCATGATTGAATAAAATAAAAAGTAGGTTTTATGTGTAAAGCTTCAATCAATTATTATTCATTACTTAATTTCGTTTGAAAAAAAAACAAGGAAATTAGGAGCACACAAACAATGTCTATCTTTTTTTTGTAAAGAATAATATTCTGCGCAGAAATGTACAAAATTAGTAAAAAGTATTCACAAATAATGAAAAATTTATTTTGTTCTATGTTCTTGTGATTTGCGAGATATATGCAAATCACGGAAAGAACAAAATCTAAGTATCACAAATGATATTGTGTTTAAATTGTCAACAATATTAGTTATTATGATTTACAAGGTCATTTTTACAGGATTTAATTGTCATTTTTTTCATTTGATCTAATTCGATCACATAAATATTTCTCAAATGACCAGTGTATTTTTGTAGATTATTGGTTGAAAACACTTTGTTCGGTATATGCACAATTATTCCGATTACATTGTCTAAATTACAATTTACTAAATCTTGTGCATTAAGACCTGATTCCTGAAAAAAAACAAAAGTTTTATATCAATAAATATATATAAAGATTACATGAGAATTTTAATAGACTACATGATTGAAAGATTTGATAGAAACGTTGATTTTTATGACAAACAAATTAAAAATGAAACAACTGAAGGCAATGACTCGGCATTGTATTGTAAATTCTAATCACAAATATAATATTTAAATGTGACCACCTACTAGTTACTTTATATTAGGAAATACAAATGAATAGAATATACAGATATATTATTTTAAAAAATAAAACTTATTTATTTATCTTAAATAATGTTAAAATAAATACTTTTCAAATAATAAAAATATTACAAAGAGAAGTATTAATTAATTCATGAATGAAATGTCCCATTCATTAATTATTCTAGTAACAATAATACAAAGACTAAACTACAATTTACTTAGTTTTCTGTCAAGGAATTTTACCTGATGATGACTTTAAAATAATCTTACTAACTGGTAGTTATTTTCCGAAATTCAAACAAAATTCCAGAAAGTCATAATATTCAGGGTTTAAGGTTATATTACCAGATAAAAAATTAGTGTTTCTCAGTTTCCCTCTCTCTATATATATGAATATATATATATGAGATTTGATAAACTTGTTTCATACATTTCAAACCTCATATCTAATGATTACCAGCCTTATTTTCATCAAAATAAATATGTATTCAGTGATTGAAAACAACTTTATCAACAATAGTTTGATTATTCAGACAGTATGAGAGACTTATATTCAATTTTAGAATCTGATTAGGAGATAAGGATCCTAGTTACGAACAGTTTGAATATAATGAAACACAGATGTATAAAAGTAGTAAAACCGTTACTATGGAACAAAATAACAGCGCTAAACTAATTTTACAATAAAATTGAGAATTGCATTTTTCTAGTTCACTTTGCTGTATTTCACTTGAATCAGTTGATTTAGTGAACTGATGCTATCATATGCATCGACGAACTGCAATGATATGTGATCTAGATGTTAAACTATTAAAAAACAGATCTTTCTTTCTTCAGAATGATGATATATATGTAGCTGATGAGTGGCAAGGATCTTTATCGATGGCTATCAATTATCTACTATTCACCCATATATATCGAAAGTAAATCAAAAATTATATCAATAGAATACCTTCAGTAGATTTGATTGTGTCACATTCAGTAATTTACAAAGTCGCCAAGAAGCCATCTGAAAGTAAAGATTAGCATAAAAACTAAATAAATTGGAAGAAACGATAATTATTAATAATAATAATAATAATAATAATACGTATAAGCATATGATGAAAATTCCACAAAATCGAACAAACAAAACAATGCAATAGTATAAATCAATCCCAATTTACTGTGTAGAGGGAGAATAAGTTATGGTTTCACACAGTTCATCGAATTTCGCCAATCAGTCATCAACAACAACGTAGAACCTCGTACATAAATCTATCGGTCTTAGTTACCACACTATATCAGCAGAGCAAAAAAAATACTATCAAGACAAATTCCAAAACAGCAGAAATAGTAAGAACATCAACGGTAGCAGTAAAGATTAGGCATAAACAATGTGAGTAGAGAAAGATTTATCCTACCATAAATATTAACTGGAGTTTATGATTTACGATAAGAAAGAGTGAATGGATATGGGCTATTGTGATTGATCCCGAAACTTTTCAACCAACTAATTCAGCTACTGATTATTAATAAAGGTACAGATTTCAACACAGTAAATCTGCGCTTACGCTAACAAGGCTAAATCTAACAGCCAGGATTAATCAAAATACCTGATGAATCCAAAGGAATAATGCTTTTTATTTGTAATTCTTAAGTCAATTATTATTTAGAAATGTACAGATACCTACGAATATATATATATATATATATATATATATATATATATATATATATAGCCGGCGTCTGTCAATAAATATAAGTACTTCACTTTGTAATACTGTTACTACGACTACTACTAACACTACCAATACTACTACTACTACTACTACTACTGGAGTATGAATAAAGATATTATTAGTACTTTAAGAAATTATTTATTCCTTACAAATAAAATGTAGACCGATTTCCGTGTTACTTTCAGTTCTGTCATAAACAAACTCATAAAAAAAATGTTAACTAAAAATGAGAAGAAAAACAAGCTGAAGAAAAATATTCATATCAATCTGAATTTGACAGTTGTAAAGATAGGTAATAATTAAAAGGCATGAAATAGTAACCATTTGGAATGCTTATCACAAATTTATGCGACCTAATATTATAATAATTATTATTATTTATGAATGGCACCAAATATTTGTATCTTAGAAAATTGAACAAACATGAAAACGATCATTTCAGGAAATTTGTAAATGTGTCAACACCATTAAATGAATTAATTGTTCAAACTATATACAAAATAAAAATAGAACTATACAGAAAATAACCTGGAAGTGATTAAAATACTCAACTTTTTATTTCATTGGGTCAAACGTTTTATTTAACTGTTTGGAGTAATTGAAAAGTATAACCTCTTTTCAGCTAAAAGTCGATAACTAATATATATATATATATATATATATATATATATATATATATATTTAGTAATATAATATTTTAAAGTACATTCGTGTTTTGATGTTTATTAATTTCGGTGTTTGATTAAACTGTTGCTTGGATGCTATCATTAGCTATCTTAATCAAGCATTAAGTGTAGCTTACAGTTGAGTACATGAATCTATACTTGATTGCTACAAGAAGAAGAAACAATGTTATCATTAACATTAACTTACGTTCAGTGTAAATTCTACCGATGATTTATGTCTTTTCAATTTATTAACATTGGATTGATCATTATCAAAATTGATTAAAACTTGTACTTCTAGTTCTAATCGTTGAAGAGGATTTGATAAATGCGCCAAACATCGGACACATTTCAAATTTTCTTGTTTAGAAAAATGTTTGGTTTTATTATCAACAACACTAGGATGAATTTCAAAATCAGCGCATGCACAATAAGGACAAATAGGCCAAACATGTGATCGACTAGTGTCTACACGAATCAATGTACCTGAGCAATTCATCAACATCATAGAATAAAAACAACCAAACATACAATAATAAAAATTTGATCATAAAAAAAACAGGTAGAAATTCATGTAGGCGGTAATGAAATTTTAAGATAAGAAATCTTAATAAATATTAAATGAGCATTGTTAATCAGTTATGATTTTGATTCAGTCGATAACAGATATGTATAGGGAAAAAAACGCGGATTTAAATACTTTCCATTTTGAGAAAACTATTAATTTATCAGTATAGTTGTTGTTATAAAAAAAAACCAACTTAACCATAATTGGTAACTAAATTGTTAATGTGAAACTTAGAGAATCGTAACAGAAAATGGTAATCCTGAAATTAAATACAAAATAGAGAAGTATCAATTCGAAAACAGACTGTTGTTTGATGAAATTTATTATGAACTCTTAAGTAAATCGACTGATTTAATAGTATAGAGAAAGACGGCAATATCGTATCAATGAAACAACTTTAGTCTAAATTGTACCGACAATCAGGATATTGTCAATTGTTTTCAATATATATGAGAATAAAATGAAAGATAAGGTATCTTAGTGCAAAATATAATTAAATTACGATATAGTGTAAACACACTGACAACTCGAAAATATATAAATTAACGTATAGCTATAGATTTCGTATATCGTATTCCCCAAGGTTGAATACAGCAAGGAGACAAGACAGGTAACGTCGTGAAAATAAACTAAACACTCGAAGAAACGATAGAAAAGTTAATAAAAATAAATATGTTGCTACAGTTATGTAACACTTTTTAAAAATTCATCTCGTTTGGAAGCACAGAGGAATTTGAAGTCAGCTACATAGTGTGTGTGTAGGTTGATATAGTCATGAGCTTTGAAGGAAAAAGTTAAGAGCTAAAATAAGAAAAAAAAATATTCTCACCTGAAAAACTAACAATTTGATGAACACGTAACTTATTCACATCTTCAAGTGACTGTATTAAAATGTGACTTGAATAAATCTGTTTGAAGAGAGAATTTTTTAGCGAATATATTGGTAAAGAATGTTGCAAATAATTCTCAGTTTTAAGTAATGTATAACGATCTAGAAGAATGAAATCTAGGTGAAAAAAAAGAATAAACGTTACAGTTTATTAGACAAATTGATGAAACTTGATATGATTTTATCGAAAAATCTGTGACGTAAATGATTTCCTTGATCCAAACAACCTCAAGTTTTACAAATAACAAAGAAAATATAATTATTTATACTACGGGATCTGAGGTAATTTTTCTATTAAAATCATAGGTTGACCAATGTGAGACTGCCATTAGAAAACTGGAAACACAAGACAGACGTTTTATCCTAGTGGCGGACTATTCAGCAGCGCGAATCAACGACCTCCGTATGCAAGAATCGAACCCAGAGAACCTTCGATTCTTAATCATTTATACCAATGAGTTCTTTGTTGCCAGTGAAGTATATGATGACTTCTGGAAATATTACCATCATAATCAGTGAGATTATTCGCTTTCTACTGGCAACACAATTCTTTAGATAACTTATATTGTAGAAAGGCGAACTGATAGTTTGATTAGACACCACTAAAAAATTTGATTTAGAAATCTAGAAGTATATTTCTAGTCACTTGAATATCTGGTTAATTTTCAACTTGGAAAGTAACTGGAAAGAATTTTAAATGAAAAATGAAGACGATTTTTTGATTTCCATATCAAACAATATCGATATTCATAACATGTGATACATCTGAAAACAAGTTCATTGCATAAGAAAGTGAAAGTTGAACAACAAGGCGCAAAGAAATTTTTTCAGATAATCAAGGATTTTCGCTTCATTGACATTTGGTTTTGGATAAGGTCGAGCAATATCGTGAATTCATTAGGGTTAGACATTAACACTGTTAGATGCCGGCTCAGTAGTCTACCGGTTAAGCGTTCGCGATTGAGACTGAAGGTCTTGCGTTCGACTATCACTTTCAGATTAAGGGATGCGTACTGCCTATGAGTCGCATACTAAGACGGAATGGTTGTCTAGTGCTTCCAGGTTTCTGATGGTAGTGTAAAATCGATCAATTCATAACTTCAATAAAGTTCAACAATCTCCATAACCCTATAATGACAAATGATTTATCGTTAACTAATACGTGTAATCAATCACCTATCACCTCCTGCTACATCTAGTTCAATATCCACAATCATTAATAACTTATCAGATCACGGAAATATAAAAAGCTATACTTGACAAAGATTAATTACTGCTCAGATTACAGGATGTGAATGTCAACAATTGCTACGGATCGGCATTTTATACTTCGATGGGCGAGTTATGAATTGTTACAATCAATAAATGGAACTACAATGGATAAATAAACGCAACGATAAAATATAGCAAGGCAACAATTGTTCACAGGGTATGATTATCGACACAAATCTCCACTTGCACTGAGCACACAAACAAGACCGCTGGCCAAAAGAACAGATGTTTTTTAACAAATCAAATAACATGCTTACATATAAAACATTAACACAAATAAACATGATGAGACGTTATAAACCATTGGAGAAAACCGACTGATATATCATTTATTTACAAATAAACTAATAACTATGAACTTAATTCTTGCCTTATCATTTCAACAACACAGTAAACAATGCAAGATTTCGATGTAATAATAGTCTGAATAGAAATTTATTATGTGTATTAATGTTTTAACAAAATCGATGCAAAATCAAAACTATTTCACTCAACTTACTACCAAAAAACAATGCTTCATCAATGTTTAAATAAACACCGAATCCAGTAGTCGATAAAAAGTTCGATGTTGATGAAACAGCAAATAAATGTTCATAAATTAATTCCATAGGTGAAATAACATCAATTAAACAAATACATGGGATTAATGTCGATGTAACAGACTCAGAAACCCACAAATAAAATATTCGCGTAAATTTTTGTTCACCAATAGATATGATTGTATTTTTTGAAGAACATTTCAATTTTTTACTTTCAGTGTTGCACCAATCTAAAGCAATATCTTTTGCAAGTGAACCTTCAGTTGGCTAATAAAGGTAAAAATATAAAATACAAGATCGAAACAAATTTCGATTTATTAGTTTGTGTACACTAAGATATTGAGTAAATATTATTCATTACCTAGATGATTTTGTCATGAATTGATATCATTCAGTCAGTCAGTTACAACGTAGAACTTCGTACGTAAGTACATACCACATTAGCATAGAGATGCAATTGTCAATTCAAATCACATAGTAATAGAGGTAGTTAAAGTATTAGCAGTAATGGAAAAGATTAGGTTTCGAGGATATGATTCAAGAAGTATAGTTCAGTGAGATAAGTTTAGAAAGACAACGGTAGAGGTGTTGACGAATCCAGAAGATTAGGAATTGAGAGAACACAAAGAGTGGATGCACCTGCGCCATTGCAAACGATTCTGAGCCATATCATTCAAGGTCTCTATCGGTAACTTTCGTCTCGCAGACCCCAACCAGGTAGCCTACATCTGCCAACATGACTCAGACCACTTGTCTGTGACTTCATTGATTTGTACCATGTTTTGGTCTGGCCGTCCCTAGCTTTTTTCAACCTACCCGTACACCACAACACCTATCTCGTCGAGACAGTCGGTAGTTAGGCATTCGTAACACATGTCCCAACCACCTCATCTGATAAAGTTTCAATACTTCGTCTATTTACTTGCCATCCCTACTTAGAACCCGTTTCCTAACGACAGCATTGCTTACTCGGTTGTCTCAGGATACACGAGCAATGCTTCTAAGACATCTGTGATCAAATACTAGTAACCTATTAATATCTGCTACGCTTGATAGCAGTCGAAGAAACATATGATATTTGTTCTGACTTAACTTGGAATGTAATATTTGGGATCGAACTTAGAACAGCTAATTCTCGATAGCATTGAGCTAATAAGAGCCTGTATCCAGTGGTTTGAATTCCCCTATTTCACACACACTATTTGTGATATTGTAGGCTACAATAGATTTTGAATTAGAATTTGTCTAACATTAAAAATAAAAAAACTGTTAGAATTCAGTTTAAGTAAGATAGTAAGTAGGTGGTCGAAATATATGATTAATTAATGCTAGTTGTTTTATATAATATTTATTGGGATTTCATTCAAATAAAACAAATATGACCAGAAGTTTTGCAGAAAGAACTTATTCAACATAGTTGATATTGAATTAAATATTCTTTCTTTGTAATTATAGTATTGACAGTGTGCAGAGTTTCCACAATGAATTATTAAATAAATAATTGTAAAATTTAATTGATACAGATTTTAGTTGTGTTGTTTTTCTTGTTATAGTGTGTGTGTGAAGATGTCGCTGTCCTCCCAATCGTTTTCTTAAATTTTAGTGTTACTCCTGGTACACATATTCATTCATATACAATAGTTTTATACATACCTAATAAGTCATCTTGTGAATTCAACACTCCTCCTTCTAATTAACATTTCAACTATTTTTCAGAATTATATTACACTACTACATATAGTAAAACACCTATTCACTTTTTATTGTTATTTTAATAAATTGAGAAATTTATTTGCGATACATTATATAATCTAGAATTTTATGAGAAATTCACAAATATATTAATAATAATAATAATAATAATATTTCAAAGAAAAATGAAAAAGCTTAAATTATACTGCCGAATGAAACGTTGGATTAATTTTATGTTTAACCACTCAGAGTTTTGCAAATACATACATACATACATACATACAATAAATACATCATAAAATCTTGTAACAGTTTTCATATACATCCATTCTATCTGAACTAGTTTAACGCTCAACAACTCAATGATGAAATATTAAATTTGTTATTGACTGCCATATAAATTACTTTACACTAACTCAGACAATTACCAATCAATGTACAATTTTTGTATATATATATATATGTCATCGTGTATCTGTTTGCTTATCTACTTATTGTACTAAACTTTGCATATATATAAACAAATTCATTCATTAGAACAGTTTTCCAACTGAAGTGTTCGTATGAAATATCGTTTTCTTTAAAACGTTTCGTACCTGGTCACTTTATGTGGTATTTTTTCAACTAAATCTAGTTACACAATCAGATACTGTCTTAGAAATAATTGGGAATACTTAATTGCGAAACCAAATGAAAGTTTAAACTAATCGGAATCAGAAAAGATTTATAAGATTATTGACTGAAAAAGTACAAATCCACTAAGAAAAAAGTTATAGTCTGTATATAAGTTGCATATTTAATGTGCAGAAAAGTTAACGAAATTTTTTTTATTTTGGAGTGTTACCTTATATGACAAAGTTTGATGTTTACAAATGAACATTTGATTATTATGTTTCAGTTCAACGAATCCGTTAGGATAATTGTGATCTGGCGTGATAAATAATTATGCACTGTTTTTTGGAAAACAGTGATTAACGTGAGAACACTCATTTTAGTTTTAGCCAGCTTTATAGCTGGACAACGAACAACCGAATAATCAAAAGTCAAGCTAAAGAAGTAGGTAAGGAATGATACATAACAGACCGATTTATCAAAAACATAGATACAACACACTGGCACTAATAACAAACTGGTCACACAGAAAGTAATTTTATTAAGAAATACCGAATTAAGGAAAGTAGTAATATATGTGAATTTCAGAAAGCATACAGTTGAGGTTGTTTGAAATTAATGAAGAAAGTAAGGAAGGAAAAGTAAGACCAACAGTGGTATATTTTGTCGAACACAGGCAATGCACCATAGTTATGCAATATCGCGCAGTGATTCCAGTGAGATAAGTACACTAAGATCAGTCTGTGATGTAAACTATGAAAAAAATTCAACAAGTTCCATAAAGTCCCGATACAAAAAATAAAACTATAAAGCATATATTATTAACAAGCGAAATACCTCAAGCAAAAAGTAACCGCTGATGGAACAACGCGTACAATAATCCAGACTAATCTGTAAAATAAAAATTTGGATAGGTTTACGGCTAGATTTACAATAATATAAATTAACTAAACTTTACTAAATCAAAATATGAGAAATTTATAGTAACATTTTATGAGATAAAATGGACATGGGAAATAGAATGATGGTAGTGGAATGGAATTCAAATTATCGACGAAACATATACATTTATTATGACGTAGATATATTCCAGTTGTTAAGTTTTAAGTCTATTGAGAAACATATTCTAGATTCCATCACGAACTAGTAACAAATGATATCGAAATGTGTCTACCGGGCATAATAATATCAAATCGTCAGTACAAGCAGACGACTAACATATGCCCTTACTATGACGAACAAAAATTATAGAAAAAAGAAAGAGAGGATTACTGTTAAAACACTGCCAAGAAAAATCTACGTTGCAGTAACCCCTAATTTTCATTTTTTTTTAACAACCAATTGGTCACTAACTATCGATCAGTGTAATAATTGTGTAGTCCATTGGTGTTGATCGAGTGACAATATAATCACTTGTCTATCTTGGTGAATTGAAATTGCATGAATTATGTCAAATTGTTACGTGGTTGAAGATAGTTAGTAGGAAATCCTGGATGAGTGTTAACTAGGCTAAGGATTTCCTACTGAGTACCTCCAACCACTTAACATTATGAGATTTTACTTGCCTTTTAACTGATTTTAGCCTGTAAAAAAGCACCAACTAGGGATAGATTTGTTAAAACAAGAATAGCAAATTGAGATAACAGTTTATGTGTACAACAAGTTACTTACTTTGTACGGAGTTGATAAATTAAAGTGAACATAATTTGATTCCATCAAATAGAAATGAGATGCGCGAGCTTCCCATAACTTTATAGAACAGTTTGAATGATCTATGAACTGTTTTTCAGTGGTAGGAATATTGTGAATCGTTGAACCATGAATGAAGTGATTGAACTTTAAAAGGAGTAAATATTAATGAAATCTTAGGTGTATAGGGTTTCTACGTTAGCGTTTTATGAAAAATCAATGAGCAGGAGAAGACTTCAATACATATAGTGAAAATAAAAGTAAAAGTGAAAAGTAGTTAATATTACTTTTATTAACATAGAGCTGTCACTACACTCAATGAATAATTACAGTCTACACATACAATACAGGGTTGCTCTGTGCCTCTATATAGTTACTAACAGTCACCGTACTTAGGAAATTGTAGGACGAACTTCTGGTAAAGATATTTAGTATAGGTTTTGATTAAACTTAGTTATAGTTATGTTGAAAACACTAGTTAGCTGGTTGAAATGAGTTTTTCACATGTTCAGTTAGTTTATTTTGACATGCTTGTTAGTCAGACCGAATTACGATAGTCGGGTTATTAACTGTTCCGCTTTCAAGATATTACGAAAGACTACAAGAATTCATGGTTGCGAAGCATAGACAACAACCATTTACAAATTGATTGATAACAGTTAGATTTATAATGATTTCACTGTAAAGATTAGATTTACAACAGTCATGTGACTGAGATGCAGGTGGATGACAGATAAATAAAATTTGACATTCTATATATAAACTAACTAATTCACTAACATCGTAAACATTGCAACAACAGCAGTCAATATCTACATGAAAGGTAATTTCACTGCTGTTTGACATGATAACGTTACAATACTCAATCAGTCTGATTTTGTATCTGCAGGCAATAGTATCATTTAATTCCGGTGAATTACACTACAGGCATAAACAAAAGATTAAATATACATGAGATGCTTACAGCTCAGGTCACGGAATGAAATTATTATCTAAACTTTTCTCAGTTTACTGCTACTCATATCAACGTACAGCAAAAAAGCAAACAGTAAGCTGTGTTGAGTACTGTATTCATTGATAATTTTTTTTACATTTTTGATATTAAAATACGACAGATAAGTGAAAAATGTTAATAAAACTTACACTATTGACATATTTCGATTCCAAACTAAGTCTAATTTCATTTAAATGATAAAGTACTTCTTTTTGAACACTGGTAAAATCAACAAAAACATTGCTTTTAATGTTATGTAATTCCCATTTAATCATAAAAGAACAGGACATTCAGCAAAGAGGTCTCTCTTCAACGGATTGATATAGAAATATGTCTTATTATTCCGGTCAGTTTCAATAAATGAAGAAAGGGATCAAAACTGACGGAAAATCTTATTTTATACATTCATTCTTTTAAAATTTGGCACATGATGAGCATACTTCAGAACCAAAGGAAATGAAATCTATGGGTCAACGGTTAAGTAATGTGATTGAGTTATACTTCATCTAATTCAATCTGAACAACTAAGTAGTTGCTACTGCTTGGAGGTTGAATATAAAGAACTTTACTTGGTTATTGAAATTCACTAAACAAACAGAATGGATAAATCATGTAACTATAATTCTATTTTTACATAACAATCATTTACTTGAGTACGAAAGATGGTAGCTGTTAACACACTCAGAAAATACATGAGGACTTTTTAGGAGGTTATAGTTGAAAAAAATCTAAATACCCAATCATCACATTAGCATGAGATGGTGGAGAAAATTTGTAGCTCAGGTGGGTGACTGTGGTGGTGTTTCGTTCTGTGAGCTAGATGTTTTGGTGGTGAAGATTTCGTTGTTCTTCTCATCAGCACAAACTTCAGTTCCCAAGTCTATCTTCTAAAGATGAACCGAATTTCATGGATGAACCTGCCAGAGCCTGCTGCTTTCCTTCGCCTCAGATTGCCTACAACCTATTCAACCTCATTAAGAGTTGGAGGAATTACATCAGCTAGCCATTTAGGTTGAATGAATATGGTGGGCAACTATGGAAGTATGACTGAAAGCCAGTTGAATTGGTCTCTAAAGTGTTATGCCCATCGATCCAATCTTCTAGGTTGAGAATGAATGATACGACTATCCTCTTCTGAGATGGTTTCGCTAACAGATGGATTCCTAGTACCAGTTTCCTTGATAAGTTGGAACAGTTGTCTACCGTTACCTATCATCGTTGCCTTCTCTATCGCTCTTGCTTTTGCTACCCACCACAGTTCGCGATCGTTGCGAGGCCTTTTACAGACTGAACTTAAGCTGACTTTGCATTTCATCATATCCGAAGTCAAGTGAGATGAGTTTACGAGCGTCTATCAGTTCGGAGGATGCTACTGAGATCCACGGCTTCTCCCTAATCTTACTGTTTACCTTGCTTCATTATATCACTGCTGTTTCCACGGCTTTTCGGATATCATTCCATGCTGCCTCGGGATTCGAATCACTTACATGGTCGCCTAACTGTTTCCCTAGTTTCTCCTGATTCGACGAAGAAGCAACGGCAGGAGTCCCACACAATGGAAGGGTATTCCTTGAGGAACCTCAAAATGAATATAGATTAGCGTTGGTCTTAGAGACCTGGGAGCGTGACCACAAAGCCCAAGAGACAATTTTTTGAGGCCAGTCACGCACGGCCTTTTTATCGCAAGATTTTAAAGTGTTAGTTCCGCTCCTCAAATGGCTTCACCACCAGAGACGAAATCTGTGAGGTAAGGTAAGATGTGACATTTTTAGGGTCGACTTTTCATAACCGCATCCTTCATTCCTTTAGAGAAGACAGCATCCCTGTAGATGCTGGTTGTCCGGGGGAAGCACCTTACTGCTGTCACAACCCTCTACAGTCAGCAGTACAACTTCACCCTCAGACCTTGAGCCGCTGCTTTTAGTCTCATCGTTCTTCAATTGACCTACCTGGCATGGTAGGACCTAAGGGATGTCTTTCAGTCAATATAGCTCGGTTGAGTCATCACAATAGGCCAGCTGGACTACCACATCAAGTTAGGAGCTACGGTCGGTATATAAACCGTGATGATAGTATGAGGTAAAATTTAAATGTAAAGATCCAAAAAGGTTTAGTCCCAATATAACCCTTTGCAGTCTAAAATTGTTCATATAGAAGTGACTGAAAATTAAAGTAACCTAGATACATATATGTTCTGTTACTTTGGTGTAAAATTCAACTCATCTATAATTTTCCTACTTAATCTTAACCAAAAAAAAAGAAAAGCGATTTAAATTCACATTCATGAATAAAACAATCAACAACTACTTGTCTTGCAATTGATCAGTAGGAAGTTGTAAAAGTGACTCAGATGTGTACACACTTCCAATATGAAAATCTTGACAAGAAACAACAGGATTGTTGAAGTTACTCGAATATACTAATTGGTCCGGTAGAAGAATAAGTCCAGGACAATCGTTGTAATGCCAAACTAGTAAAATATATCTGAATAATAATGTAAAAATAGATTTCATTATGTTAACAAGCCCAGTTATCAAAATATGAAATAAAATGATATATAAAGTTAATATTTTCATTATAATCTTCATAATTTTATTAACCTAGCACCTATTACATGATAATATTAAGTGGGCTGCAGAGTCAACTGTAAAATAACATAAAAACAGAGTATCCCAATAACCTCTAAAGTCTACCGCATGTATGATACAATAAATTAAATAGATGACATTTATGAAAAGTAAACATTTGATGATTAGTTAAACATCCTATAATTACGAGAACAAAGTAAGATGAAACAACCAGAAGCATTATTTGAGTATCTATAGTACATAACATCCAGCAAATGCATAGAAAAGAAATATAAATACAGTGCTAAATCATACAAATAAAGTTGTAAAGTGTTCTATGTCGTCATTTTGAGCACCTGGAACAGTAAACTCTAAACTATACGTAATTAATAATGGGAATCTCTCTGGTTATTCAGCGAACAAGTAGAGGTTCTTGTACCCGGATTCAAGTCATAAATTTCTGTGTAAGAATTATTAATAGGATTAGGTTGCTCAAATAGATGTACGTAGACGTAGATACAAGCCTGGAAATGCATTAACGATAAAGCGACTATTCTACTTCGACACTCCGAATGAACTGAAGAAGATAATATCACATAAGAGATATGAAAAGAATAAACCACTATTAAATTAATTGTTAGTCAAAAAAATGCAAATAATTATTGCAGAAGTAAGCTTATATTTTGCTTCTTTTCATTTCTAGATTTTCTTAATTTTCCAAATATTCATTAATCACTATTTATTATCTTTTAATGATATTTAATCAACGTCTTATCATTTTATTACTTTTCCGTTTTTGTCCTATTACAAATTACAGCAATTTGAAGTAGTGTAATTCTAGGTAATAAAGCTTTACACTGGTATATCTTTTTATGTTAGTTCAATCTGTTGTGATATTTATTTGCTTCAGAAAATAGTGTCCTTGATAGTTATGGTAGAAATTCTGAAATTTTACGATGCACTTTCTTGAGGAGTTAAAATATCTTCATCCTAAGACATTGTCTAACTTCAAAACATATAAACATTGTGATGGGCACCACCGTAAAAATATATATTCAAATGAAAACTGAATGCATTCGATTGTTGACGTATTATTGTACTAACCTCAGTTTCTTCAGTAACCAAAATCGATAGCAACCCAAGACTAGAAAACATTTTCTAGTAAATATTTCTGTCAATAAATTTCCAGAGGAAAGTTGAAACGCTTGAGTGGTAGATGAGTTTGACTGTGCTAATCTCTTTAGCCAAAAATAAATACACCAAGAAATTTGAAGAAAATGAAGTTATATCACTTTAAACAATTAAGTAGTATCATAAAATACATATAATGAGATTCACTTTACTCAATCACACATCCGTACATTTGTAAATCAAAAAAAAAAGTAAACTAAATCCAGTGTTCAAAATATTTGTATGGAATTTTCCCATTAATTCAAGAGTTACTCATTTGTAAATTATCACAAACTATACCGTCCATATCAAGTGTCATGAGCTACAAAACCATTGAAGGCTTGAGAGTACATGTTAGACTACGTATTTCATTTTAATCTGAAACTGTCAGAAAACAATGATCACCCAAAATAATCAGATCTCGCAGTGACAAAAATAATATTTACCCATTCAGTCAGCATTTATTGTTTCAAAGGTTCTATGTACAAACTAATCGTGATACAATTCGATAATGATCACTAGGTGATTATCTATCTTCATCGTGATAAGGTTGATTTCATATTTAATGAATTTCCAAAAAGAAACCGTTCAAAAGAAATGGACTTGACTAAAAATTGATCCTATCTACATTTTAGCTACACAGAGGATGAAAAAATAAGTATCCTATATAAAATCAAATTCACCTTTACATAAATAGTTTCAATATGTTTAAGTTCGATGCATTCTCCGTCAATATTTGAAAACTATGATGTGTATTTTAATTAACATTTTATTTAAAACTTTATGAGACAGTGATAATGACATGTGATTTGAATTTAGTAAACAAAACTAGGCTGATTTGAGACTCAATTACACGAGAACACAGGTTATTGCAATATAAAAAATGATAAGTAACGAGAAATAGTCATAGCAATAAAAAAATAAGCCTAAAAACAGGCCAGTATAAATTTCTAAAGAAATGATGAATGTAAGTGAATGATTAGCACTTGTTTACTAATATTCTTGATTATAAAGAATACGTAAGACAAAATCAATTATATTATTTTGTGATTGTAAACAATAAATACATTATCTTACAACGCTTTTAAAAGGGTGTGTTTTGTAAGATTTGATTTTCATACATAAATCATAACGAACTAACTTCTTCATGGATTCTCTCATAATGTTTAGACAAATGTATACAAAGATAAATATGAAACAATTCAGCAAATGGTCCGATAATTTGAGGTTAAGTAATGATATAGCCTTAATATTCAAGATTAAAAGTAGAAAAAGTAATAAAAACACGAAAAACAGTTATTAAAAGTAGATGCGTGGGAATCTGTGGATGACATAAACAATAGCGTAGGTGTTTTATAAACACATGAGATCATTATGTCACGGGACAGCAGGTAAAGCCATGATCTAAAAGACAATGAACTTCATAATAAACAACCTAATCACAGAATTCTATCAATAGAAAAGAAAGCTTAGTTAACTTACTTTAAAACGTTTAGAACAATTCATAATAACAGATGGATCACCTATATAAAAATAAACAATAACCAGAAAGATAAATAAAATATGGTCTAATGGAGTTAAACATTAGAGTTTAAAATGAATTCTCATTTTATTAAAATAACAATAAATATGGATTAAACAAAGAATATTTTTTTCTAACAAATTCTCATCAAATTCTACATTTGTAAGTTTAAAATTTGAAATCATGAAGTTAGATCACCATTAGAAACCTGGAAGCACTGGACAGCCATCAAGTCCTGGTATGGGACTCATCAGCAGTGCGCATCCACGACTCCTGTACCTTGTAGGGTTCGAATCCAGGACCTTCGGTCTTGCGCGCGAACGCTTAACCTTTGGACCATTGAGCCGGTTAGGCGTTCGTGTGCAAGACCGAAGGTTCTGGGTTCGAATCCTTCAAGGTGCAGGAGTCGTGGGTGCGCACGGGTGATGAGTCCCATACCAGGACTTGATGGCTGTCCAATGTTTCCAGGTTTCTAATGGTGGTCTAACTTTGATCGATTCATGATTTCAAATGTGTAATAATCTAAAATTAATATTCAAAACAATAAAAATGATTGTCTTTCACAATTCATGTTTTATTCCATACTTATTAGGATTATTAATCTTATAGTCTGAATTTGAGTAATAAACATTCAATAATCATTGTTGCAATATAAATCCTTTCAACAGAAATGAGTTTATCATATAGCAAGTTAACTGACTATTATACACCAAAACACCGCCTGGAGCCCTTCTGGCGTTACTGCTGGTCGCAAGTCCGGATAAAGGAGGGTTAGGCATGGGGTTAGCAGCCCTATCCTGTAGAAAATCAACTCGTTAAAACAACGCTAACCAGAAAAAAAAACAATTCAAACCATTTGAACCCGTAAGTATCGACATATATAATTATTTGAAGATAAAAGTATTGACATAATCACAGAAGAATAACTATCATAAGATTTTAGTTCAATAAAGATAAACAACCAATATTAAATTTTTAAAAAGCATAATTTACAAGCATGATGATCTAGGCAATCAGTGTCTAACTAATACATAATGAATTTAAACTTTAATTTATCAACTTCTGATTAAGTGACTTTATTGTATGAAAATAAAGGAATCTTCATAACTTAATAGAATTTTCTTATCATTATGTGGAAATACAATTTTATTTTTTGCTTTATATTCAAAATTAACTAATGTCACCTTCACACATGAGTTTATACAAAATTGAAACTCGAATTGATACAATCGTATCAGAGTTAACATGCTTATGAAAGATCAGTAGCTATATGTGAATTTTCCGAACTAGTTGACCAGTAAATAAAATCTAATTAACTTTGAAGATACAACTTGTGTATATAGGTGAAAAAAACGACGAACAGTACTTGTAACTCATGTATGGAATATGATTGATCATAAGGATTATTTTCTATCTTACAGTTTTGGATCTATCAGTAAAGTAAACAATCAACTAATCAATGGATTATGCAACTTGATTGCGTTAATTGAGAGTGTGAAATTAAAAAGTTATAAGAAAATGAATCATCTACTTTCATGATATGCTTCTTTGTATTGATGTTTAAATGGAGTAAACATTTATAAATTTAAAAAAATCAACACAAACAATTGAAACAATTGTTTTTTTTATTAATTTTGTCATTACGCCCACACTTATAAGTCTATAATAATTTTGTTATTTTACATAAACCATTTGTATTGTTTGCAAATTCAAAAGGTCATTTAACTTACATGATATTAAACATGAACAATTAATTACTTCAGGTTTAACAGAGTTTATTTGGGAATTAGGAAAATCATTTTCTACTTCACTTGAAACCCCATGTTTTAAACGTTCAACCCAGAAGAACGAATGCATAATAGGTAAATTATTGAATTCATCGGAAGTAAATGTCGACCTATCAAAAAAAAAAACAATAAAAAGACATCCTCAAAGTAAAACAGAAAACTAAGATCAGAACGGAAATATTTTAAAAAAAAACACCAAGTAGAATGTAGATAACTTTAATGATTAGTAGAGAATACCATCACGCTTAAGCAAATAAAAAGTAATTGAATCATGATCATTCTCGTTTCAAAGTTGCAATTGGCATTAAGCAACATAATGTACTGCCAACTAATTATAAATATATTCATGTCTCCTGAAGAATTTATTTCCATTTCACATGGTTTTAAATAAGTGTTTTACCCACAAGTACTAGATACATGTTGTAGTCAGGGGGATAAAGGCAATTAACAAGAAGTCCTAAATTATATGAGGGTTGGTATTGATTAATACAGGCTATATTCAATCTGAATAGATCTATCGTTCTCTCTTAGACTCAAAGTCGCTTTACCCGGTATCACAGCCAGAGAGACGCTGCTAGTGAGCTACTTAGGTCGCGACTGAAATCTCGCAACATTCAGCAATGGAGGAAAATGAAAGCTGTACGAAACCAACTACATGCAACCCAAAGTGAACATGTGGATAAAAGGGTTTCTATTTGGCTCGGATGTATTTAATATTAGGTGAAATTTTTTAGGAATATTAATGAATACATTTAAATTTCCATACTCCTTGTGATGTTTGAAATAATAGGATAAAATAGTGTGATAAGAATTTGAAGCATAGAAGTGAGATAAGGGCATGCGAATTTGAAAAAATAAGAGCTATGACCATTTGTAATGATGAGATACGTTTCAAATCGAATCAATATAAAATGTTAACACAATTTAGTTCATTTGATTTGACAACTACAGATCTGCATGTTCGGCTTGGAGTCCCTTCAACTTGTTTGTATTCAAATACTGGTTTTATATGTAAAAATCCAAAGAAAAATATGTTTTGATTAGGTCTCATACTTCTTCCACTAATACAGATTAAGAATATCCTGCGATGAACTTAAAGGCCATTGGGATAACATATAAAATATCTTTACTGGTTTTCGGTCCGTCTGCTATTCAAAAAAACAATTTTATCGGTTTATTGGACGAGATCAAAGCCATTTCAATTATATATTAGTTCAGAGATTATTAATTACATAGTTCTATTAACTGAGTGATTGAGACTGAACACAAAATCATAGTGCGAATGCACTGAGGATCAAACAGCCAAATACAACTATGGACTAAAACTTAATGAACAGATTATAAAAAGTGCGTTGATTTCAACTAAGCGAAGATCAATTTAAGTCGATGTGCGATATAACATTAAGATTGAAATGACTTTCTCGTATCTTCCAACAATTACTTACTTACTTAAGCCAGTTACCCCGAATGGAGCATAGGCCGCCAAGCAACATTCTCCAACCTACTATGTCCTGGGCCTTCCGTTCCAATTCTGCCCAATTGTTGCTTATTCTTCACATGACTGTCTTCATATCTCGGAGTAATGTGTTGTTTGGTCTTCCTAGCTTCTTTCGGCCTTGAGGATTCCAAGTGAGGGCTTCTCTTGTGACACAGTTGTGTGCTTTTCTCAGTGTGTTTCCTATCCACTTTCAGCGTTTCTTTCTGAATCTTCCTTCTACTGGAATCTGGTTTGTTCTCTCCCACAATAAGTTGTTGCTGATAGTGTCTGGCCAGCGGATCTGAAGTATTTCGCGTATACAACTGGTAATAAATACTTGTATTTTCTGGATGATGGCTTTCGTAGTTCTCAAAGTTTCCACCTCATACGGTAGATTTGTCTTGACATTTGTATTGAAAATTCTCACTTTGGTGTTGGTTGATAGTTGTTTTGAGTTGCAGGTGTTCCTCAATTGTGGAAATGCTGCCCTTGATTTGCCGATCCGCGCCTTCATATCTGCATCAGATCTACCGTACTCATCGATTTTGCTGTCCAGATATGTAAAGATTTTTAAATCTTCCAAAGCTTCACCGTCAAGTGTGATTTCGTTTGTGCATGTTGTGTTGTATCGAAGAATCCCGCTTCTTCCCTCGTGTATGTTGAGACCTAGCTGTCCATTGTATCCCGTGCTTCCCTTCAGAGAGTGATATCTTGATAATTCAGTCGATCATCAGGCGAAAAAGAAAGGGTGAGAATAAGCAACGCTGTTTGACACCGGTATTTACACAGAATGTGTCTGTGAGCTACAATGTTGGGTGGGTTAAGTGGGGATTATTGATTCAAGAGTTTCTAAAAGTGTTCTACCTACCTGTCTCACTGTTCTTCAATGTTGCTGATTAGTTTGCCTTCCTTGCTTTTCACTGGTTGTCCTAGTTTACCATAATTTCCAGCGGGCTTCTTTTTTGTATCTTACAATTGTGTCAAGTTTCCTTCTCTTGAAGTCTTCACCGTCATTGCTAGATCTCCCACATTTTGACGTTTGTTGGCTATGATGCTCCTCTTCACTAGATTGATTGTTTCTGTGTATTCAGCATGTGCCTCGGCTTTTTCTGTTGTTGTTCGGTTGATGTTGATTGCTGACTTCTTGTTTCTCCTTTCTTAAATCTTATCCAGTGTATTAACTGTAATGGTGCTTTTTGTGGCCCAAAATCTCATGATATGTTGAAGTGATTGCCTCCTTGATCGCTTTCCAGTTGTTCTCCATAGTAGTTTCCTCTCTATTGAGTAGATCATGAAAGATGGAGCTATCCTCCAACAATGACCATAATTTATTTAAATGGATGATTGAATGACTAGGACAATCTATGGGGATCTTGACTACCCACAAAACACGGTAATTTTGACCCAGTTCTTAAACTGGAAAAATATATATTGACTTGATTAGGTCTTGTAAGTGTAACCACAGAAACGAGAAGAAGCTTTGATTACAAAGTTATTTATGACCATGTGCGATTTTGACATTTGCTCAAAATCACCATCCAACTACAGATTCTGATAGCTTACCATGTACACGAACTGCATCTTATGATTTCTAAGTCAATATTGTCACATTTCAAAATACAATTAGCACAACAAATTTTTATGAGTTTCGCCTATCTTATGGAGTGCTATTTCATACTGCTTTCAGAATTTTGAAAGGTCCTTAAGATTTGTGTGGTAGAAATTTATTTCATGGTCACTAACATCTAAAATGAACATTCTGTTTTTTATCCAACCTCTCAACCTTACCACTACAAAATCAAGATAAAACTGCATTCGTAACTCAAGTATTTTGGGAAAAACGATTGAAACGAATTCTTCCTGAAAAGTAAATTGCTTAGCTCGTTGTATGCAAAGTAAAACCAATGAATCGGAATTGATCATACGGTAAAGTAACTTACCAAGGATTAAATATAACGATAGAATCTCCACATTTTAAATCATCACCTAAAACGAGATTTGCTGCAGTGAATGAAAACAATTCTTCTGTCCCAGAAGATACGCCAGAAATAGGTAGAAGCAGAATAGCGAATTTATTCGGTACATCTTCATTATCATTAGGTACTTCAGCTTTATTTTCTAAAGGTGCTATAATTTCACGTACACCAAATGCTGCCAATCCAGACAAATTATTTGAATAATTATGGAATACCTTGAGAATTTGAAAAGTTTTTGAAGTATGCTTAGTAGAATCTACAAGACAATCAATATAAATTTTATGAAAGATTAGAAAAGAGAGTAGAATCATTACAGCTAAATTTTTTTAATTTAATTCCTAAACTACTTCACTACTCATTAACTTGTGGCGCCATGTTGACTCTATGAGGAACGACAATGATGAATTATGATAACGAAATATGGGACTTAATCCGCTTAGTACCTAGTTTGTCAAATAACCAAACTCATGAAACGCATAAGCAAACTCTAATAAAAGTACTCTTCGGATTTATTTTTCAAACATGTGAATATTAAGTAGTAGAAAAACTATAGGAGACGCAGCGGATATGCATAGCCTTCGAGCTCGGTTATACATCAACTTGGAGAAAACTAAGCGAACTCTGACTTACGACTATTGTAAGAAATACAGATAAAAACCTAAATGTAGTAAAAAACGATTAGGGTTACAGGTGAATAGATAGCGAACCCAACCGTACAGAAAAACCAAAACGATCGAAATGATAAGGATATCCAGAAACAGAAGAAACTCATGTGGGTGTTATAACAGACAAACCATGACAAGCGCTTTGTAAACAGCTCAAATGACTGGGTGGTAACAGTTAAGTAAATGGTAAAGAATGCAAAAAATGGAATGACATAATTTCTCTGAGAAACAACTAACAGTTACTCGAACGTCATACAACAATTTATGGGTAATTGAAAAAAACTGATGTCCCATTACAGTGTCTTCGATTAAAAGAAATTTTCACGTCGAGAAATCTTACTAAAGAGAACTGTGGTTGAAACCCATAAATATATGATTGAAACAATTAGTAAGAAATTTCCATTTCACTCTATTCTGAATATGCGGTGCGTGTGAATATTTGGCACCGAAATTTCGAGGTAGAAGGTAAAGTAACAAAGACATCGAGCGATACATATTTCCAACATCATTGATTAAGTGAAATAATTTTGGTATATTCTTAAATATTAGCTTCAACGACTCGCCAGACGATGCAGGTATTCAAATAACGTACCAAGTTTCTATAGAATAGATGGGATGTTGCTAGCCCTTAAATGCAAGATGCGCGTGTCATCCCATTAGAAACTCGTGATTTGGATGTATCTGAATTCCAGAATGCTAGGTTGATAGTTTTATGTAACTTAGTGACTAAATAGTTCGGAGCTAAAATCTCATGAGCAGATTGAAACAAGCTTAAAAACTGAGAAGCATTAATAGAATATCTTGTGGTTTGCTGATTAAATTAGTAGGTTTCTGGGTTCAAAAACTGTGAGAAAGCGCAATGAAGATAACATTCCGGTGACCAACCCAAAAATGGAAATGAAAAAAGGACACTAAGTATGTAGCTTTACGTTAATTTTGCAATAATTTCAACAAGATTATATTAGCTATTCGGGAGAAAGAGATTGGTTACTGATAGCGAAATATGGGTGCTCTACTTAGACTCTTTGAGGTAAAACAAATAAGAAGTAACAGAAACTCTTGACATTGTATTATGAAACTACGAAATAGCCAGTAAGTTTCATGACTCAGTAACAGTTTATTCCTGGTTGAACAAATAAATTTAACCTACCCCTCAAAACTTTAAAGTTTGATGAGTATAATAAATCATGCATGAATATTACCTAGGATATTTTGAGTTGAACGTTGGTGCAGCCAGATAGAACGTTCTGAAGAGTTACGTTTGATCAAATGATGGAGTTTTCGCAAGATACTATTACTGAACACAAACAAAATCAAAACCATCATTAAGTTAAAACACAGTTCCGTGTTATACTGACAGAAAATAGATAAGAAAAGATGACAGATAATTACAATACCCAACGGGCATCATTATTATGAGGGTTACCATAAACAGGATATCAGTAAACAAATAAAACTAATTACCGAAAACTGACAGTTTGAAAAGCGATTTGTAGGATATTTTATATTTAAGAAATAAGAAATTAGTCATTGACCTAACTGTTTTGAATTTAAAATCACTTTTAGTAGAAGGTACCTCGGTTAAACCAGTATAAAAAGAGAACGACGATTTTAAACATTTCGCCTATAAGAAAGTTAACTTTTGAAAAGTGTACTAACTTGAGGTGAGAAAGCACTACTTTTAGATGACTTCATAAACTTATTTACTTCATGTATTAGCAGTAACGTAAAAGATTAGGGACAGAAAATATTATTCGAGAAGTATATCCCAGTGAAATAAATTTAAAAGGAGAAAAGCAAGTAGATCCTTCTGTATCCGTGCTGAGAATTTGTCAGACACTAGGCTATCAGCACTCATGAGACTCCCAAGATAAGCGAGGCGGTCGATACGCTCAATTATTTCACTCCCTATCACTAGTTCATGTCCTTTAACAAGAAAATCCTGAAGCAACACAGCTTACAGTGTTGTTTAAGGTGGTCAGAAGATTCGGTACTTTGTCAGCATCTGCACCAAACAGAACTATGTTACCTGACCGTTCTAAGCCCAAAGTGAAGCTTCTGGTAGAAGTTCAACTCCTGAAAAGTCAGACGATGAAATTACCGTCTCTAAAATCATGTCTATGATAAAGTTAAATGAAAATAGGGAGAGTAGACAACCCTGACGGGCACCACTAAACAAATGTCTACCGTTACCTATCGCAACAACTTTTTTCGTCTCTTTTGCTTTCGCTACCAACAACTGCTGAAGATAATTGGGTAGACTTTTTATCAGCTTGACCTTGTGCTGCCTCCGATCTTAATACTATTTAGATCCAGAAGTTTCTGAGCTAGATGCCACTGAAATCCACTGCTTTTCCTTAACCTTTTAGCTCAACTTGCTGGCAGATACCACTGCTATTTCCAGTTTTTTGATATTATTTCAAGTTGCTTCGGGGTGAGCATCATTTATACGGCTATTTGACTATTTTTTAGTTGCTCCTGGAATGTATTCTTGGCTTTTTTATTGTTAAGTAGAGTCAGCAACAACGTAGAACTTGGTACAGGACTGTTAAGTAGAACTCTACGGGGTTTCTTTGTTGCCTTTCTTGCGTCCGGTTAGCCGCAGACGAATGCGTGCTCGTAGTGGATGAGCCGAATCTAAACATGTGCTCCAGAATGAGTAACATTCTTCTATCGAGACTTCCCATCGGTTGTTGATAGCAATGTGGTCTAGTTGGGTCGCCATGTCAAGAGGTGTTTATCCGTATCTTGAAGTTGGTGTTTACCAGAAATAGGCGGTTATCTGAGTTTGGGTGCAGAAGACGGTCACCATTATCTGTACGATGAGCCTCAGCAACTAAGATCCACTCAGTTGTCTTTCAGTTTCGCCTAATCTACCTACTTGAGTATTAAAATCACCCTCAACTATTACATCAGAGCGCCTAACTTTTCGAAGAAGGTTAGGAAGCTCTCTGTATAACTCATCCTTTACCTCGTTCAAGCTGCAGTCAGTAGGAGCGTCTGAAGATACGACGAAGAGGCAACGGCAAGTAACCCTATCTTCTTATTATCCAGTTCAGTCGGACAGCGAACAAGCGAATGTCTGTTGAAATCATGTCAGGAGAGGTAGTTCTGCTTTCAGCCTGATACGATACCTACACCAGCGAGGCCAAAGGAGGTAGCAGTTGAGTCTCTGGATCTTCGAAGGGTAAACCGATACGAGTCTTTATTCCGACAAGATGAGGTCAAATTATTAACTGTAATCAGACCCTGTATCCACGTTTCGGAGACGCAGCACACATCGAAGACATGAGATTCCAGTCTCAGATAAAGAAACCCGTTATCCTATTTAGCACAAGGTTCGAAATTTAAAACTCCAACATGTAGTTTAGAGCGGGTTCTCAGGAAACCAGGAATAACGTTTCCCACTCTCAAATCGATAGCATTATCGGCGAGAGGTGATAAGGGTATATGAGAAGGGTTACTCGTGGAGACAAGAGAGTTATTAAGGGATGTATGATGGATTTGATGGTGATTTATTTGGTCTCGTGTGCTGTCACGGACATGAGAGAGGATGTCACTTTCCGAATGCCCACACAATTCAAGGGTATTTCTTGAGGAACCTCAAAAGGAATATAGATTAGCATTGATCTTTGAGACCTGGAAGAGCGACCACAAATCCCAAGAGACAACTGGTTGACGCCGGTCACATATGGCCTACTTATTCGAAGATTTTGAAGTGTTAGCTCCGCTCTTCAAAGAGCCTCACCAGAAGAGACGAAATCCGTGAGGTAAGGTGAGATGTGGCATTTTTAGGGTCGACCTTTTCTGACCCCTTCCTTCCTTGTGAGAAGACAGCATTTCTGTAGATGCCGATCGGCCGAGAGAAGCAACTTACCGCTGTCACACCCCTCTCTACAGTCACCAGTACGACTTCACCCTCAGAACTTGAGTTGCTGCTTTTAGTCACATCGTTCTCCAATTGACCTGGCTGGCATGGTAAGACCTAAATGATCATGTTTTCCAGTCAATATAGCTCGGATGGGTCATTACGATAGGCTAGCTCCTAGCGTCAAGTTAGGAGCTACAGTGGGGATTTTTTGTTATATGGACCGAATCGATGAATTTTAGGGTAACAGTTCATTAGAATTTAATTCGACTATGGATAAATGAAACGAAGTACTGAAAACATAAATGACATCTCTTCAGAGTGTTTGACTGGGTTCGCGATGTGAGACCTTGGTTTACCAAAACTTATCTAATTCCAACAAGAAAACCACTATAGTCAGTTTAAGAATATTTAACTGGTCAGACAGAAATCAAGTTACATCTTAGATGCCCATAAAAACTGTTGGTAATATATAATCCTCACCTTATTCCTTAATATCAACAAGGCACAAAACTTATCCCTAAATTTCAACTGTTATAGATAAACAAATTGTAATACAGAGCCTTGATGCCAACTATTGTTATCAACAACTATTCAATAAAGATCAGGTTAAGATAAGTATCTAACTGACAAAACGTAATTTTTAAATAGATGCACAAGAGCAGCGTAACACATACGCAGGTATTCGATGGGGAAGAGATTTGATGGTCAGATTTGTATACGGAAGCACTGAACAATCGCGTTGCAACTCAGTAAGATAACATAAAGAATCAAAATTAGATTCATCGAGGTTTGTACATTCATCTCTATCGACAATTTCAATTGAAGAGCTTGGCTGGGAATACTCGCAAATTACGGCATTTTCATTTTGAGAGGAAACTGAAGATGAACAGTTACCAGAAATCAAATTTTGGAGCTGCTGAAACTCATTCGCCGACGACTGAAATAAGAGACAAGAACAATGAACGCTGACTTGAAATTTTCCATGAAAACCTAAATACATAAAGTATCTGTACATTGTCAGTACTTCAAATAGAAAGCATAGATTTACAAAAACTTAATGTAGTATAAGAACTTGATTTGAAACGTCAAACGATGTTTCAATCGACATGAAACAGAACACAAAGCAAAAGAACTGGATGTATTATACACTGAGTGTTTTCAAAAACGTTAAATTAATCAATTTGAACTGTTTATATTCGAATAATACATTCAATGTGTAACGCCAGTAACGAATAATATCTATGGTTGTTAAAAAGTAAGCTAATTAGATGTACACATCATCGGCAGAAAACTGCACCCTTGATATGATAAGGATATTCATTTATCATCAAATTGACTGAAAAACTTGTTTCGTAAAATGTCGAAGCCTACTTAAGAGTAGAAAAATGAAGTCTCTACATCAGGATTTTCTGTCATTTACCTAGATTTATATAGTCGATAAGAAGACTTGTAACCAAAAGATTTGCTACTAAAAAGACTAATCCTATATTGGACTAGCTTTAAAGCTTTTTTTTAATATCCAAACTGGAATGCTGATCTCTATTCTAGAAACTTATTAAGAATTTAAATGGTCAACCAACAAACATATCGATAAAAATTCGATCTATGAGCACAAAAGGAAAACGGTTAATCAGTCAAATAATCAGAAGTCAATTGCATGAGACAGTTAGATTAAGCACAAGCGTATGTAAAGACAAAGAAACCTAGGACTGGTTTTGTATTTGTGGAATAACTGAGAACGTTACATGTAAACGGACCTCTGTCGATGTTTTCCGGAACGGCAGAGAGCTCTACGGTCGAGCTATTTAACTCAGAGAACTCAGTGACACTAGAAGCATCCACCTGAGCCTTAGTTCTCTGTTGATGGAAGAGAATAATTTAGTAACCAATCCGACAGACATTTATGGTGTTGCAGCTGTTCTTTAAGCCTTCCGACCATCCCCACCATTGATGCGGAAAAGACAACTTACGATAAAACAACAGTAAACTGTTCATATCTTCAGACTTTAAAAACTAGGAGTGACAGCCGTACAGGCACACTAATCTGGTATACTCAACCTTTCACAAATAAACTAATACTACACCTACTCTAACAGGCAGTATACTTCGGTAATGATATTGCTCATAAATTAACATAAAAACAGCTTTAAATACAGTTTTTTATACGTACGCCCCGTTGAAGACAATATCTGGCCGTGTCAGTGAATCAGCTATAATGTAGAACGTAAGTACGTCAGTTCAAGTCTCCAAACACCGGTTACTATTATCTCGTAGACCCCAACCGGGTAGCCCACATTTACCGACATGACTCAGTCCACTTGTCAATGACTTCATGGCTTTGCGTCACGTCTTAGTTTGGCCGCCCTGAGCTTGCTTCCTACCTACTCTTACACCAGTTGCAGATTGGTCAAACGTAACGCATGTCCCAACCACCTCAACTGATGAAGATTCACCACCTACTACCACTTTCCCAACAGTATTGCGTGCTCAACTGTTCCTGGATATACGTACGAGCAATATTTTCGAAGAAAAAGATGATCGAGTACTAGTAACCTATGAATATCCTCTACTCTCACTGACCATGTTTCGAATCCATATAGGAGAACGGAGCGAATTAGTGCACAGTACACTCGTCCTTTAGTCAACAAACGGACACCTCGCCTACCTCATAAGTGACGCAACTTGGCAAAAGTCAATCGAGCTTTCTGTATCCGTGATGAGATTTCGTCAGTCACCAGGCCATCAGCACTGATGAGACTCTCCAGATAAGTGAAGCGGTCTACTCGCTCGACTACTTCACTCCCTATCACTAGTTCAGGTGCCGATGTAATCCAATTTTGAAGCAACATTTTGCATTTCGAAGGGAAAAACAGCATCCCAAACATGCTTGCATTGTTGCTAGAGATAGTCAGCATCTTCACCAAATAGAGCTATATCAACAAGCGAATCTTCTGGTAGAAAGTTCACGCCTGAAAAGATAAAGTTAACTCTAAAAGTTTGTCTACGACAAAACTAAATAAGAATGGAGAAAGTAGACATCCCCAACGAACACCACTTGAAGTAATGAATTCCGATGACAGTTCGCCATAAGCTCTAACTCGACCAGTAGTGTTCGAGTAGAGAGGTTGTATAAGGTTAATGTACTTCTTTGATACACCTTTCAATTACAGACACCGACAGAACTGCATCAAATGATCTCTACTCTTAATATTTAAGCTACGACAATCAGTTACATTTTATTACTATTACCTTAAAAGCATGGTCATTTTATATATTTTAATATCAACATCGACTGTGCAGTAAATGCGTATTACTGAACATTTTACTAGAACAAGGTCGCAGTTAGGATACACCATTGACTCGCATGAAAAATTTTAAAATAAACAATCAAGCTTTACTAACAGTGGGTTCATCTAAGTTCTCGATACTTAATAGCTGATGGCCAAACTCCAAGGTTTCTCCTTCCGGAGATGACGTGGGTGAAATGTCGATACAACATTGATCTTCTTGATTCTCTGGATTCATTACGATTCCCGAATGGGGTGCAACGCGGCTGAATGACCGTTTCGGTGGGACATTGTTTGTGGGGCCGAAAGAATCCACCCAAGATGACGAGTCACCAAGTGAGACACTGGAAATTATCAAAATGAAAGTGTTACCTCTTACGTGGAACACAGATACGTTTCGGTAACCAATCTTTCTTTCGGAACATTTTCGTTTAACAGGTAATAGTTAGCTGAAAGAACAAAGATACTCTGGAATGTAAGTGCTGGATTCGCTACCTTTAAAAATCACTGGTTTACACAGAAAACAAACTATATCTCAGTAACTATCTTATTAATGGGAACAATTGAAATTAAGGACGGTGATTAAGTTTCAGCAGTTAAATTTGCTGACATATCAGCTACAATCTGTGAGTAGCAAGTAATCTCATTTGACCGATTTCTACAGCTAACTATCCCAGCTCATAATAAAGAATAAACATCGTATTCCGAAAGCTAAAACAGTTCGACTAATATAGTGTTCATAATTAAGCCTTGATAATTATATGGTGCTTAAATAGGGCTCGTGAACTGAAAGACTGGACTTATTTCAGTTGTGGACAGACATGTGTTAATTCACTATTTACCCTGTCTGATTCTGGAACATAGATTTGCTTACCACTGTCCAAAAAAGAAGCACCATCTGACACTGTAGATCGCAGCTGTAACCGCTTCTTCTCACAAACTCAACGCCATCAGAAAACTAGTCGTCTAATAATTATTGAGAAAATATTGCTTATTGCAGCTCTCTCTAGAAAGTTGTACTAGCATATTTGAAAATAAACAAATAACAACGATTCCTAAGAGATAACATGAATTTTCAGTTAAAAATTATTTAATCAAAGCAGTATATTTCAAATAACCGCAGCTTTTAACATTCCTTTGTAGATTATGATTTCTCAAAAGAGCAGCCACTCGGAGATTTTTGTTGTTAGGCCTGTAACGTAGTAATAGCAGCGCCTAACCTGACTTGATTACACAAGTTAAAGAGGAACAAATTACATCTGAATCTTAAATTAACCTTTCAGATTATTCCAAAACGTCGTTCACTTTCAGTTGTATAGTTATCTTTAAATTTTCAGTAGTTGATATGTACGTGGAGTACTAAGACATACATCTTGTAAATCTATCTCCATCTCTATCCGATATTATGAGGCTATTATTTCCGTCCTACATACTTCCTGCTAAACTGAGTGACATCAGCTCTCAAGACTCGTACCATGAGATCCATACATGGTTTATCGCTTTTAGATCACGACAGCTTATTTCAAAAGTTATTAAAAATGTTATCAAGTTATCGTATGCAACAGCCTGATATTTTATAAAACACTGGTATTTCGTTTTTTTCATTAACCTTATATTATTGTCAACACCAATGAGATGCGAGCGCTGATAGTCACGAGAAACCGTAGTGTAGTGTACGGAGAAAATACAACATCGAAAGAAACCGGGAATTGGATCAACCCCGATTGTTCTTTGTGAAAATGTACAGTATTGCGTCGTTATGGCTGGTAGTGATGACATAAACTGACCTTCTTCAGATGATTATACTGTGAGTCCTGGGTTACAACCTCACAAATATCCACACAATACTTCCTGTCGTGAAAAGAAACTATCAGACAGGTGATAGATGTTGCGAGCCAGGCTTTCTAGCACGACGCAAAATGAAGCACATAATCGGCTGATGGTGATTCAAATAAAATGTAAACACAATACAATAGAAAGCTTATCGCATATATACATGTGATCATGTATTTGGTTCATAAGTTTGTGTTGAAATTACTAGTCACTGTCTATTTTTATTTTTCAGCTAGCTCCACAAATACTTACTGAAATTTGTTAATCTCAGATAAGTAGCTCTACATAACCACTCGAAACCCAATTGCCTTGATTGTTGTTTACCCATGTCATTGTATGGTGTAGCTTTTTAGACGCACGCTGTACTAGTATTAAGATTAACTTGTTATTTTGTCATACTAATGTTTTGAAATTTTTACAGAATACGCTTAAGCTCCTAACTAATTGATAAAATGAACTGATTTTGAAACATATATATCAAAATTCTGGGTGTATTTCAGGATAAAGGAACAATAGACTCAGGCCTAAATATTTTCAGGAAATTTGCCCAAAATCAATCCAATTTGGAATTTCCCCTTACGGTTTCATGGAACCGCCATGTATATCGCCAGAAAGAAATCCAGAAATGTCAACTTGTTTTAGGCTCCAACGTTCAGGATTTATGCCGCAAGCTCTTAGGCTTCGCGAACTGCCGAACTTTACAGATCGATTTTCATGGATTCTCGCGGACTTTTACTCCGAATAATTCAAAATCCGATTTGATAATTACGACAGAAACAGCTATCGATGCGAGTTTGAATAGGGACTAGGGGACCATCTATTATCGATTCCTAAGTGTTATCCTCATTAAGGAAGGACGATTCACAGAGAATGTTTCACATGTTTTTATCTTAGTGTAGCACAGATCACCATTTGTCTCTTTTTTATTGTCACACATTTTTTCAAGTCAAGTATGTTGTTAGCATTCGGTAGAAATGTATGTACCACGTAAGACTTAACGTGAAAACGTACACTTAAAAGTGAAAACTAATAAGTTATTCAGACTCTAAGTATCAATGTCAGATACACGACTGGAAACTAATATAAGTACCGCAACTGATTGAAAACTTGTCTTATGCGAACCAATGTTAAGTCGCTGCATTATAAGTGCCTTCAGTAATAGGAACAGTAGGTCTTACATCATTATGTACGTTTGACCTATTTGATTTGCATGATCATACTGTTCCACTAAATCTTCTACTGTGTATGCTTTATATGCAAAAATTGTTAAATAACACATCTTCATGTTTCCGACCTGGCATGTGTGATTTGCTAGTACGATGTGCATGAAATGTGAATATCACAATAACGTTAAGTATCTGACTCGTTGATAACCTAAGAGGAAAGTGAAATTAATAAGGATCTAGTACCACTGAAGTCAATCTCTGTCCATAAAAATTATAATCCAAATAGGGATTATATTTTCACTATTAGCTGTCGATTGAATGTTCCATAAATAACTGCCAGAATGCTCCTATCTTACTGGCTTCCTGAAGGTTGCCGGAATTCACATGTTATTCGATATACGATATATATATATATACGATATTGTCTTACATATTTTATCATTTTGCTTTTAGTTGGCCCAGTCAAAGCAGGTTGAGCATGGCTCGTTTTATAAACATGCTGTATTTAGTTGGTGAGCGCGTACACTGTTGCGATATTTGTACCATATGATGATCCCTTAGTACAGTTTTCCGCATCTCATCTGTATCACAAAAACATTACGTTTGTTTATGCGCACAGAGTTCTCGAATTGAGTGCTGGTCCACTTGTGACTATTGGAGTCCAATTGGACACTTCGAAGTTTTGCTTCTTCGTATATTAAGAACAGTTACTGTCTATCATCACCCCGGTGTTACGACTGACCAAATCCTTGGACAGTTGGATACTAATTCAAGTGAGGATGTTTTAAATATGAAGTGTGGCCGGGAAAGATGTCAAATATGATAAATTAGTGGATCCTTTGCTAAAGTTCATTGGAAAGGATGCCTAAAGTTTGTCAAAAATATTGACATTTCCAGATAAACCTATTTCACCTTCCAACGAAGCTATAAAAAGTTACAACACAATCGCGTAAAAGTGATCACTCCAAACGTGTAAAAGAACAAAGTTTCAAAAGTTGCTTCACTAAAATGATCAGACAGTCAAGAATCTTATTCTTGTACCATAACAAAAAGCTGCCAAAAGTAATTTAGGTGATGAACTCAGATAAAGCTTTTGTCTTTAACACCATACAGATCGAGGATACCCAAACCCAAGTAAAACGGATTGATTGGGAAAGGTAGGACCGAAGGTATATTTGAACGATCGTTGTAATGCCCATCAGTAAGTAAGCTTAGCTTACTAATTGGTGCCAGCAGAAAGTTGCACGATGTACCCATAGGTGATCTGGTACGGATGCGTGGCCGAATGCTTTCAGCTAGGGTTTGTCCAATAAAATTTATGAGGTCACCATCAAGTATGAAGACTTATAGGACTGTATATTTGGGAGATTTACTTAGAACTACAGATCAATTCCAGAACTCATCATACCAATTTAGGAAAAAGAGCTCATTCAAGTGCCAAAATGCTCCTTAATATCGGTAGCATAAAGTCAATTGTTTCTAAGCCTAATTTGCTGTTTCTGTTACAGAAAGTGCAATCGTTGCCATTTACTGTTCCCACAGGTAACATTCCATTATGTGAAGAGGGTGGTTGTGTCAGTAATCCTTCCCTTATTGGTGACTGTGGCTCATCCCAACTTCGTTTAAAATACCTTAAATTACTGTATGCTTGAATAACGTTCTTCAATAATTTTCCTACAGTACTTCAATGAAATATCCCGTCTTACAATGTTCAAAGGCTGGAGGAGGTAAGACAATTCAACCAGGACACGTGGATATAAAGGAAGAGCCTGCATTCTTAAAGCGTAGACTAGTTTTATATGATGAATGGTGAATGGATTAGAACACGTTGTCGCCGAAGGAATAAAAGCCCTGTCTGAGCAGTCTAATCGAGCTACGCTCCGAATCTAATATTTATCTACAACTTCAAAACATGCTTCCTACATTCAGAAGCTATTATATTCCACAACTGGTCCATGTCATGATTTTATTGTTGTTGTAGGTAGTATGAAGCCGATCAGTTTAATCGAAAACCCAGTCTTTAGATCGTGACATTATTGTACGAATAGATGAAATCTCAGTATTGAAGGTTACGGAACACAACCTCATTATACTAGAATATGGATTACTGATTAGAGATGATAGTTCCCCAAACATACCTTGTGAACTTTTAGTTTATGAAGCATTTTAGTAGGAAGTTTGATGGCTGCATATTCTGATTGCTGCAAAGTTATGAAATACCACCCAAGAGAACTTCAGTTAACGGATGGTTCAGTCTTTATAGTAAGGAGAGTCTTTGAAAAGAAGTGAATAAGGCACTGAATGATTTGTTTGCGAAAAGAATGATTGAAACATTTCAGAATTAGGCGTTGGGTTTTTCTATTGCTACTCCATTGGTCTTGTACGGTAAAATCCTTATATTGTGTTGATTACATACTGAAATTGAATTCCAGCTTAT